AGAGGCCGAATGGGCGTTTGAGACACTCATTCTCAAAACGAAGTGTGGTCAAACCCATCGAGTCCCCTTCATTGGAACCACGGGCGACACCCCTCCAAACCTACCTCCCCAGGACCCTTGTCCTTCTGGATCCCACCCAGACATCTCCTTCACTTCTTCCCGTCAGTTTGCTCACTTCATCCGACAGGAGGACGTCACGCTCTACTCAGTGAACGTCATGGATCTTCTTCGCTACGATCCACTCTGTCCCGAGTTTGAGCTCATCTCACTGGAGCCCGATCCCCCTGACCCTTCCTCCATCTTCGCGGCTCCCATCTCTACATCCACCCCGCAGCCTGCGGATACCCCCTCGACATCCCAGGTTCCTACGCCGTCCACTGCCGAGTCCACCCATACGTCTCGTGCTGACGCAGACGTTGAGGAACTCATGCGGTTCACGACTGACTTAGAGCCCGTCATTCGCGACCTGATTCGGGAGTACCGCGACGTCTTCCCCCCGTATTTCTCATACAGCGGGATTCCCCCGATGCGCGGTGTCGAGCATTCYATCCAGCTCRTGCCTGACTATCGTGTTCACCATCAGGCACCATACCGACTCTCGATTCCAGAGGCGACGGAACTCAAGCGTCAGCTTGAGGAGCTCCTTCGACTTGGTTTCATTAAGCCTAGTAACTCCCCTTGGGGTGCACCTGTCCTCTTTGCTCACAAAGCGGACGAAACTCTCTGCCTCTACATCGATTATCGCGGCCTTAACCGTTACACGGTTAAGAACAGCTATCCCATGCCCCGCGCGGATGAGCTGTTTGACCGTCTGGCAGGCAACCGCTTCTTCACGAAGATCGATCTTCGTAGCGGTTACCACCAGATCCGCGTTGCCGCAGAGGACCAGCCGAAGACCGCCTTTCGGTTGCGCTTCGGCCACTACGAATTCACGGTGATGCCACTCGGCGTCACCAATGCACCCGCCACCTTCTAGACGGCGATGAACGACATCTTCAGGGACATCCTTGAAGAATACGTCTCGTATACCTGGACGACATCCTGGTCTACAGTCGTACCTTAGAAGACCATATCAGACACCTCCGCGATGTCTTACAGCGCTTACGCAAGCATGGCTTCTATGCCAAGCTCAGTAAGTGCCGCTTTGCCCAGCGCAAAGTGGACTTCCTAGGACACCATGTGTCTAACCAGGGTTTCCACATGGACGACGCGAAGATCACTGCTATTGCAGAGTGGCCCGTCCCCACATCTGCTAAGCAGCTTCGCAGCTTTCTAGGCCTCATCAGCTACTATAGTAATTTTATCCAGGGATACGCTAGGTATTTCTACGTCCTTACCTCCACCCTCCTCCGGAAGAACCCGCCGTGGTTTTGGACACCCCTCTGCGAGGACGCMTTCCGCGCCCTCAAGAAGGCRGTGACTTGCGCGYYGGTTCTTCGCCTTCCCGATTTTGATCGTCCCTTTATCGTCACCACCGATGCGTCAGATTTTGCAGTAGGAGYTGTCCTTTCTYAGGTGTTTCCYTCTCCWCCAGATTCACCTTACCCCCATGTTCCTCCTTCCCCCCCCCTTCCTGCTGACACTGCTTCTCGACTGACGCCTATCCTACCACCACTTCCCTCCACTGACAGTCCTCCCATTACTTACTCCCCGGCCATCGCGGAGGACGGGACTGTCGAGGCTCGTGCTGGGGATTGCCCGATCGCCTTCTACTCCCGTCAGCTACTGCCTGCCGAGATAAACTACACTGCCGATGAACGTGAGGTTCTCGCAGTAGTTTATGCTACCCGGCATTGGCGTCATTATCTGCACGGGGCGCCCTTCACGGTGCGCACGGACAACTCAGTTGTCCAGGCTTTCCTCACGAAGCCTAAACTTTCCCCTCGACAGGCACGCTGGTGGCGTGACTTATCCGAGTTCAGTTTCACCACTCAGCCCATCAAGGGTGAAACGAACTGCGTCACCGATGCCTTGTCCCGCCGTCCTGATCACAATCAGGAACCCATCCATCTTGCTGCCATCTCCATCACCAGTGTTGATCAGTCGGTGATCGACGCGTATCGCACTCAGTACCGCCACTGCCCCGATTATCGCGTCATCCACGCGACATTGTGGAGTGGCAAGACCGTTCCTTCCTACTCCCTCGGGGAGAACGGCCTCGTGTACTGGCATGGCAGATCTGGTCAGCTAGAACCACGTATCTGCGTTCCCTCCACCGGACAGCTCCGCGTCCAGGCTGTAGCAGAGTTCCATGACCAGGCAGCTGCCGGTTATATGGGTTTTCACAAGACGTTGGCTCGTGTTTGCCGCCTATACGTCTGGCCAAAGTCCAATGACTTTGTCAAAGCCTACATCCAGGAGTGTCCTACCTGCCAGGAGGTGAACAGTGCAAACCACCTTCCGTATGGGTTACTTCAGCCCCTACCCATACCTGAAGGTCGTTGGCAGTCTATCTCGATGGATTTCATTGGTCCCCTCCGCCCACCCACTCAACGCGGTCATGATGCTATCTTGGTCGTCGTCGATCGCTTCACGAAGCGTGCACGTTTTGTTBCGTGCCGCTATCGCATTAGCGCTCCTGAGGTCGCCGACATCGGCTTCGACTGAGTCGTGGGAGATCACGGCTTACCTCAGAGCATCATCTCCGACCGTGACCCGCGCTTTACCAGCACATTCTGGCGACGCCTACACGAGGTGTACGGATCCTTGCTCCGCTTCTCATCGTCTTACCACCCTCAGACGGATGGTCAGACTGAGGTCACCAACAAAACTCTCGGTAATATCCTCCGAAAGTTTGTTAGGGATGACCAGCAGTGAGACTTACACTTAGTCCACGCGGAGATTGCGTACAACCACGCTTTTTCGCCAGCCACGGGGATGTCGCCATTCTATTGCGACCTCGGCTACCACCCTCGCGTACCTGCGGATTTCCTACGACCATCGCGGTTGCGCCCAGACACTCGTTGTCCTGCGCTTGACGACTGGATCGCCCACATGGCGGCGATTATGAAGCGCGGACACGAGAGTTTAGCCGACTCCCAGACTCGCATGGCCGCACGAGCGAACCGATCGCGAATGGTTCATCCATTCAAAGTCGGTGACGATGTGCTCGTCGACGCACGCCACTTACAGCTCGAAGCAGATATGCTTCGCAAGTTCAGGCGTCGTTTCTTCGGTCCATGCCGCATCCTTCAGGCCGTCGGCTCTGATACTGCCGCTAGTCTGGTCAGCTTCCGTGTGAAGCTACCTGATTACCTTCGACAGGCTCGCGTACACGATGTTTGCCACGTCTCCTTGCTGCGTCCTTATCGCAGACCGTCCAAGCGCTTCGCCGGACGCCCTTATGAGCGCCCTCCACCTATCATGGTGGACAGTCACGAGGAGTTCGTTGTTTCCGACATCGTATCACGCCGAGTTACCGACGATA